GCGTTTTAACTTCCTATTTCAAAAACACAATCCAAGATTCTAATAGATAACCCATGCTCTTTGCTGCCAGTACATTCCTGTCTCCACAGGTTCACAGAATTTTTAGTCACCTAGGAGTAATCAGATCCAGCAGAGATTTTTGTTTGTTTTCTTTTGTTTTAAGAATAGACATAGAAAGTTCATTTATTTAGTACTGGTTTTATTCCACATCTGCAAGAAATCAAAGTTAGTATGGAAAGTATCTCCGGCATGGATAAGTTGTGAAATCAAAAGAACTGTATGTGTCAGGAGTGTTTACTTTTTGGATAAAGTCTCATGAGCAAAAACTGAAGATAGGGTAAGCATAATACGCATTAATAATAACAAGTAAAGTGCTCAATCAACAAAATATGAAAGGGGATTACTCTACAGAAATTAAACTCCATAGAATATGGAGTAAATAAAATGGTAAAGAATGCCAACATTATTAGCAAAAAATGCCAACATTATTAACAAACATTACCAAGAGTATCGAGCAATATGGTAGGTAACTATTTGTGAAGAATAACTAATAAAATAAATATCATTTCTTGCTGACAGAATTTCTGCTCCAAAACAAACACAATGATACAGATGTTGGCAAAGAAACATTTTTACTCCTATTGCCAAAGAAAAAATTCCTTTAAGCTAACCTTTATTTCCAAAATTTGTTGAGCTATTTTTAGGACTTTTCCTCCAAATGGAAATTTGATGAATATGAAGAAAAACAAATCAGAGGACAGAGTTTATGGAAAATGGAGGAAGGATAATAAAAACAGAAGACCGAATCAGAGAGAGTGAAGTTAAGATGGCGCCATAGAGGATCCGTCTATTCACTCTCTCTTCCACAAATATTTATTGAGCCTCTGTTAAGTGCCAGCTATTCTTCTAGGCACTGGGGTTAAGGCAGGGAACAAAACAAAATACTTTCCTTTGTGGGGGTTTATATTCCCATGCAAAGGTTGGCCAACATCTTCTGTAAAGTTCCAGATAATAAATATTTTAGGCTTTGTGGGCCTCACAGTCTCTGTCACAGCTACTCAACTCTGCCATTGAATGTGGGAAAGCTGTCACTGAAAGACATACAAGTGGCCATGGTTGTGTTCCAGTAAAATTTTTTTTTTAAGATTTTATTTATTTGACAGAGAGAGAGAGACAGCGAGAGAGGGAACACAAGCAGGGGGAGTGGGAGAGGGAGAAACAGGCTTCCCGCTGAGCAGGGAGCCCAATGCGGGGCTCAATCCCAGGACCCTGGGATCATGACCTGAGCCAAAGGCAGACGCTTAATGACTGAGCCACCCAAGCACCCCCCAATAAAATTTTATTTATTAAAACAGATGGCAGGCTGATTTGGCCCTCAAGCCATAGTTTGCCAACCTCTATTCTAAGTGGAAGGAGTCAGATAAATGTATAATATCATTTCAGGTCATTATAAATGCCTTGAAGAAAAGTAGAACAGGCCAAGGGGATAGAAGGTAATGATGCAGAGGAGCTGCTATTTCAGATCGTTAGAAAAAGTCTTTCTGAGGACAACAAGGCAGAGACCCTGGATGAAGCGAGGCTGTCAGACAGGATGGGATCCAGTTCATGGGTGGAGGGCTTGATTCTAAATAGGAGTATGGACAAAGAATCTCTTATAACAGGAAAGAAGACAAAATATGACACTGCTGAAGCAGGAAGTTGGCATATATGGTTGGGGGGATATTGGTGTTTTCTCTGATCACGGATGGAAAGTGGTGAGTGGGGCCACACTTACCACACTTACCCTCCTCTTATTTCTGTTCTCTACTTGCTGAAGACGGTAAGTTCGGTAAGTATTGTGGGCAAATAAGAAATCTACAAAAGGACATTTTATAGCATTTTTAAAGGAGCAGAAGTTAGGGAGGAGGGTAAGTACATTCTAAGGATGACTAGTGGATGGTGCAACAGCTCTGAGAAATACCATATAACCTGGATGCAGGAGTCAGAGGGAACATGTATTCTGGTATGCAGTGAGGGTTACTACCTAAAGAAGGTAGGAAGTGATCAGACGAATTTTATTTTATTTTAAAGATTTATTCATTTATTTGAGATAGAGAGAGAGCATGAGAGGGGGGAGAGTCAGAGGGAGAAGCAGACTCCCTGCTGAGCCAGGAGCCCAATGCAGGAATCGATCCTGGGACTCTAGGATCATGACCTGAGCCGAAGGCAGTCATTTAACCAACTGAGCCACCCAGGCATCCACAATCAGAAACATTCTTAAAAGTTCAAATTTTATTTCATCAGCAATATTCTCATTCCATGGAGACCCTGCAGGGTTCTGTGAAAGGGGAAGTAAAATGTAATACTTAAGGAAAGTGAAACTGTCTATCGATGTCTGTTGTACCAAGAGAAACCAACCAAGAGGCCTGCCCGTCCAGCTCGGTTGGTGTCATCTCTGGCTTGCCCCACGAAAGATATCAAAGTATAAGTCAACGAAGCAAATTGTATGTAATCAAAGCTCATGAGAAAAATTGTGATAAAGACAACTGCTCTGCAGGAAATGACATGATAATATAGAATTGGGAACAGACAGAGAAAAATAAACTGGATGATTAAGAATGATATGGACTCTGAGAAACAAACTGAGGGTTCTAGAGGGGAGGGTGTGGGAGGATGGGTTAGCCTGGTGATGGGTATTAAAGAGGGCATGTACTGAATGGAGCACTGGGTGTTATACACAAACAACGAATCGTGGAACACTACATCGAAAACTAATGATGTAATGTATGGTGATTAACATAACATAATAAAATAAAATAAAATAAAAGAATGATCAGTACATATGCAGAACTCATTTCTAATCTCTAAAGCACTATGAATAAACTCTCATTTCATGATAAATGAATTATAGAAATCACTCATGCCCAGAAAAGTGATACCTGTGTGAGTCAGAGCTAACAGTGCCCTTCCTGAAACATTACATCATACCAGGTAGATACCCAGTGGGAGCAAACTATGGTTCAAAATAAGAGGGCAACAGGTCATGCTGTCTCATTCCTTCTGCCTACTTACAGCTTGACTCAAGACTGCCTGAAGTTCAAAACCTTTGTTCTCCAGGAACAATTGACCCTTCAGGCAAAGTCTGTCCAAAGAAATTAGCAACTGACAAGGAACCTTCACTTTTAGATTTGACATCTCATAATAAAACCCTGAGGTTTATATGCCAACCATATGAAATAAACCCTAATTCAAGTTGATGTCATTTCAGAGAGCAGCAGTGGTGGTCAGACCCAAGAACAAGCCCATTTGCCCTGCATGAAAAGCCCATGGGTTTGAAGGGAGATTGCCCATTGGTAAAAAGGCAGATTGGGTTGCCAGCGTCTAACACTTAAAGCCAGGAAGTTTCTTATTCTTTTTGGCTGACTCTGTTGTAATCGTAAGTCACTTAAGTTCCAAACACTCAACTTCCTTCCATCTAGAAACAATGATCTAATACTAAGAAATCCTAAAACTATGAGACAAGACAATTTCTTCTTTATTTCTTGTAGGGCTGGTGTCATGTTTGCAAGTTCCTTTAGTTTCTGTTATATATATATATAACTATATATATATATATAAAATTATAAATATATAAATAAATATATTTATAATTACCAGCAGCTAACAGTAGTAGGTGACTAAGAAAGAAAAAAAAAAAAGAAAATATCCATAAGGCAAAAGTAATTCATTCATTTTCAGAGTATTTCTACCACCATGTTACAAATATGTCCTCTAGAAATGTTCTTTTTGAGCTATTCCAACACAGGCACTGGAATAGTTAATTCAAGAGGTAAGGTTCAATGATGTCCACACAAACAGGTTTTCAAACTGTGGCTCTTTGTCTAGGTGGGAATAAGGGTGCCAGTGTCTGTTTTTGAATCATTACAGTATATTCATAAATTTATGTCCTAATCTGTTAGCTTAATTAAAGAACTGTCACCAAATATAACAAAAGTTTGGAGCTCTAGTTCAGGAAGAATGCCTTACTAAGATGCAGATTAGTGATGAGGAAGAATTAGGCCTCCAGGCAGGTCTCTTTTCCATAATATTTCAGAATGTAAATTTTTAAATTTGTTTTATTGTTATTTTTAATAAGCCCCCCAAAAAGGAAAGAGTATAACGTAGGGGTGAAGTATGTAGCCCTGGTTGTTTACTAGCTGCAGGTGAGGGGAAGCTACTTAATTGTGTAGTCCCAGACTTCACATTTGCAAAATGGGGATAGTTATGCCTAATCCGTGCATACTGCCGTGAAGTTTAAACAAGGAAAATGCATATATAAAAATTACATATACACATATATGTATAATATAAATATATGTAGCAATTAATGCAGTATCTGAGGCATAATTAAACTTGGTTTTTATAAGTGAAGAAAGTGGACCCATGTAATGTAGTAGTTGAGAGTAATTTTATTGTTGACTTTTCAGCTACCCAGAGCCTTAACAAATTCTTTAGGTAAAGAAGTGATTTCTTAAATTCTTCAAAAGCATCCACCAAATTTAGAGTAGGTATCACACCTAGTGTTTTTCTTCTCTTTGGGGAAAAACATAAATTCTATGCCAAATTCTATAGCTTATGTATGTATTATTTCAAATCCCCAAAATGTTAAAATTTCCAGTTATTCTGGAGAGATTATTTGTGTATCAGACATCAAAATGTTGATCATTGTCTGGCAAATCATATCTTGGAATGTAGGAGTGTAGCAAAGTAGAACTGCTATAGAAAAATGGGAATTAAAAAAATAGAGAGACTAATCCTTACCTTCTTTAACCTCAGAGTCTAAACAATCAAGCCTTGTAATTACATGGCACGTTATACTTTGTACAGTAAAAATAAGACCAAAGGCACTTGTAACAAACACAGTTTTCTGCGAGCCAATGGCACGCCTCCCTGCTCATCTCATTTCCTAAGCCAGGACTTGAGAAATCAGGTGACTTGGCAATGAAAAAGAAATTACATAGATATTCATGGAAAGCCCATAAACCAGGATGATGAGTAACTTGCAAACTCAAGCAAGGGTCTGCTTCCCTTTTATTGTTTTTGCCTCTGGCTTCTATTGCCTTTTATTGCCTCTACTCATGGCAGTAGAAGCTGTGAGCGTGGTAAGGAAAAAAGAGACAGCTAAAGCTGACTTGGCACTGAATCCTGTCACACAGCATTGCAGGTCAGTGAGAACACAAGCAGAATTTGACTTGACCTTCTAAAACTCTTCACTGTAATCTTGGTCACTCTCTTAATTGAATTATGGATCTCAGGTTGGTTTTGTCTTTCATATTCTTTGAATTTTTTATTGAACCGGTATTTGTTATTGTTACTGTTGTCGTTGCTATTATGCCAATTAGTTCAATGAAAATGGCCCTATGCAAATGGCCAAGAACAAATAAGCAGAGCTGTTTTCTTGTCATAAATGATATATCCTATGAATATATTAATTTATGACTATAGAGAGCATGATGTAGTCCTTTTAAATGAATTTCTTCACCTCTAAGTTGAATTGAACTTAAAAAGACTTACCAATCACAGAGAGTTATTATGAAAAATATAAGAACTATGAGGCTTGAAAAAAATCATTAATTGAGTGTCCTACTTCTATGCCAAAAAAACCTTATAATTTGTTAAAGATACAGTCTATATTAATTATATAATGCATGCATTATATGTATATAAAAGCACATGCTTTTTTAGTGTAAATCGGTATTTGTTATTTGAGAATACGAATCTGGGTCAAGGATTCCATGACATCCAAATAGCCAAGATTTTCCACTTTTTTGGCTTTTATTATTGAAAGAGGGAAAATGGGATCAGAGACCTAACAGCAAAGAGTTCCAGGCAGTTCTAAATGTGCAAAATCTGAACAGCTTACTTCAGCCCAGGACTTAGCTTCTCCTGAGTCCACCTGGCTGTTTAGCTTTTCTTACCAGAAATACCACTCTGGAGTGTTCAGGAAGCATAAATCGTAAGAGCCAAGAGAGAAAACCAGAAACTTGCACCTGGCACAACTTCTCTAGTCTTGTCAGTATAAATGAATGTTAATTCCAGAAGGATCTAAGGCCCCAGAACAGAGGCATGATAGATATTGTAGTTTGGTAGAAATAGTGTGGAGACGGGAGAAAGAAAATCTTTTGAATTCTGGTTCTGCCTCTTCATAGTTGTGTGAGTCAGGACCACTGTGGGAAGCTGCAAAAACCCAACTAGAATTAGCTTAGTCAAAGGAAAAGGAGGTATTTATTGGGTCAGGAAACCAGACAGGCAGCAGGTTAAAAAACACAGTTGTCAGGGCGCCTGGGTGGCTCAGTTGGTTAAGCGGCTGCCTTCGGCTCGGGTCATGATCCTGGAGTCCCTGGATCGAGTCCCGCATCGGGCTCCCTGCTCGGCGGGGAGTCTGCTTCTCCCTCTGACCCTCCCCCCTCTCATGCTCTCTGTCTCATTCTCTCTCTCAAATAAATAAATAAAATCTTTAAAAAAAAAAAAACAAAAAAAACACAGTTGTCATGAGGGAATCAGGGTCATGAGTGCTGCCAGGTCAGCTTTCTTCTCTTGGACCAGCACTCTCCATGTGCCTACCATGACAACTTTCAGTGGCTTCTTCTGGCTCCCATAAGAACAGCTTCCCAGCCAGAAAAGAAGAATCTCTCTCCACATCTCCTCCCTCACTTTCCTCCATCCCTCTCTTCGTCTAGGTTAAAAAAATGTGAGGAAAGATTCTAATTGTCTAGGCTCCCTTCATGTATTCATGAGATGGGTCAGGAGGGTTATTATTACCAGTTTAGGTCAAATGACCACTCCAAGGTCAGTTAGTGTTGCTCAGCAGACTGAGGTCACAAGATGAGGCAGCTCCCAGGCAGAACACACATTGGAGGTAAGGGTAGAGAAGCACTTTTCCACAAGAAGGAGGCTAGCACAGACACCATCCCTGCGAGTGAGGCAGCCCATGTGACCTGACTCTACCCTAGTAACTCCTGGGTCTTAGGCCAAGCTCTTTAACCTCCTCACTTTCCCAAAGTATAAAATGGGTAAAATTATAATACTTAACTCACAGAATTATTGTGAGGAATAATTAAACTAATTTATGATTTAAAAAATCTTTAAAAACATAAAATAACTTACAAATAAATACATTTTCAGTTTTTTCCTCAGAACTAGTAGATTTCTGGAATCTGGTACAAACGAACAAAGGACTGTCTTTCCCTCAGCCCCATTTTATGCATCAGATTCCTTGGAAAATATTCTAATAACTATCAGGTGATTTGTAGCATGAACACCACATCTAATATAAAAAAGACACATTAGCAAGAATTCGGTCCAATAATTTAAAACATAAGCCCGAAGGAGCAAAAATTTATTTTATTTCATCGGAAAAATACAGTTGGTTTGCTCTATAACCTAACACCTAATTATGGATTAATACAAAGAAATGTGTTTCCCTGTAAATGTAGCCAAAAATGTATCTTGAATAAGAAAATAAATTTCCTTAGTACTCTTTGCTCCAACCAAGCATTCTGATTCCTTTTTTTGGTACTGATTAATATCACATGAGAGACAATACAAATTTCATGCTGCCTAAAAGGAAACTGAGGTAGGAATATTTAACAGCTCCCCTGCAATAGTTAGTAACATTACTCAAGTAATGACACCAAACGTAAAATCCTTGTCTTCCATCCCAAATTCAGGACTTTCACCATCCTTCAATCCACTGTCCTTGATTTAGTGCAATTTGACTTTGGAATGTATATATATGGTACTTGGTAAATTATGTAAGGTGGGGAGGTGGCTCACAATGTGCATGAGGCTTCCCTGGACTAGAAGGTTTTGTTGGATTTTCCTGGCAACAACTTTTCTCTGGTGGGGAAGGTAAAGGAATTTAGGGAAAGAGGTGAATTTCTCTGTGTCAGTCCTGCCTACCTGAGCCCATGTGGACACATCCTTACAAAAAATAAAATGATTTTGCCCCATCTTTGACATGCTATAATCTCACTCCCTCTGGGATTATGTCTCTGACCTCTCAAGACTAGATCAGATGGCCATCCTTTGGGTCCTAGAGAACACTGTGCTTGTTTCTTGTATCTAGTATATCTCTTTCGGTCTCAAAACGCCAAAAAATATGAATCAAACCAGCTTATACAAGAAAAGACCATTTTCTTCAGCAATGTATATATCTTCAGTGGCTAGTAAAGAATGTGGCATTTATTCATTCAAATATTTATTAAGCATCCACAACATGCTAGGCTTTATTCTAGGAAGTGTGGAGCTAATGCTTGAAACATTAATGAGTCCCATCTGCAGTTGGGACTAAGGATCAATCCTGCACCATAAACCTGGGCCCTTCTGTGCCCATCAAGATACAATCGTTTCCCTTAACTATCACAGTTTTTGTCCAGCCATTTTAACTGGGCTTCTCCTTAGTTTTCTACAGGTTTCCCAAGTTCCTTGCCATGGCTAGAACTCTGCCCTGCACTCTAGTCCACTCAGGAGAAATGAGCCCCTGTTTATTTCCAGCACGACTTTATGAGCTCTCTGAATCATGATGCACCTGTCCCTTTAACTTCAAAAACAGCCACTGCCCATTCTTTACAGTGGCTATTTCAACTTCTATTATTCTTAAACCTCCTAGGTTACCACTGCTACCTCTCTTTCTCCCAACAGATGATCTCACCTCTTATCTCAGAGTAAATAGGAGACATTTGATACAAACATCTGGAAATTTATATCTGCACATCTTCAAAATTATCTGCACCTTTGCCCATTGTTTCCTTCTTTCCTGCTTTCAACAGGGAAAAACCTCCCCTCTCCTGGAAAAAAACCAAACTCCTCAAGTTAGGGTCTGGTTCTCATTCTTGCCTTGTGTCTCTTTGACTTTGAAGCACAACTTTCATTCGAATGTGTAAGTTCCCTTATAAATCAGACCTAATAACTTTTCCATACAGAGCCTAAAAATCCTCTAAAGTAGCTGAAAAGGTAGCAAAGCAATGTTCTCAATAGGAATTTTAATAAGCTAGATGTTTTTACCCTCAGCACTCTTGACATTTTGGATGGGATAACTGGGTGGGGGTGTCCTCTGGATTAGAGGATGATCAGCCACAGCTCTGGCCTCTATTCACTAAACGCCAGTAGCACCTCAAGTCCTGACAGTTAAATGTCTCCAGACATTGTCAAATGCCCCCTGGGGGACAAAATTACTCATTTGAAAACTAGTATTATATACAATCAGAAAACTAAATGTAGGATTTGAAAGCAAGATAAGAGTTTTCTGTTTCTGGATTCAGATTCAATCTGAGTCATGTTTCAGTTTGAACACCATTAATGACAAAACTTTCAGGGTTAAAATATATTGCAGAGCTGACCCTTGAGCAACACAGGTTTGGACTGTGCAAGTCCACTTACATGCAGATTTTTTACAGTACAGTGGTATAAATGTATTTTCTTTTCCTTATGATTTTCTTAATAACACTTTCTTTTCTGTAGCTTACTTTATTTTAAGAATACAACATACAATGCATATAACATACAAAATATGTATTGACTGTGTTATTGGTAAGGCTTCTGATCAACAGTAGGCTATTAACAGTTAAGCTCTGGGGTAGTCAAAAATTATACAGAGATTTTCAACAGCATGGGGGTTGGTGCCCCTAACTCCCATGTTATTCAAAGGTCAACTGTATAGTGATATTGTGGTAAAGAATTAAATAATTCAAAATTCAGCTAGGGTTCCAAGATAAAGTTATGAAGGACAATGAAATAACAAGAATAGAATGATCTAAAAAATAATAAAATAAAGGAGAAAGATCTTCATTTTGAAAGATGTATAATAATGAAGAATTTGATCTTCTGTTTGTTCTTTCTGTAGGAAGCTTTGTTGAATGAAAAGGAAAGCTGCAAAAACCTTTGAAGTGGCTCAGTATTCACAAAATCCTCCTTGAGAATGCCTGTAAATGCCTCCAAAGAAGCCTTTCTGAATTGCATAGTTATAATAAAAACTATTATTTCCTCTTCTGATTTGTAGAAAATAAGGCATAGATTAAGAAGATAAGAATTCTTCCAAACAGTATAATGAAATAATATACAATTACTGTAATTTAAAATGTTTCATTACTTAGTTGCCCTATTTAATTCACGTACATATACTGGTACTTGCTGTGCACACGAATCAATAGGTTAAATATATTCATAGTCAGAATAAAAAAATCAGAAGGGATAAACTGTACTAATCTATGATACAATCACAATGAATTATTTCAAAACTGTTCTCCGTGAATAATAACATCGAGAGATTGGTTTTTAGAATGGCCTTAAATAAGATCAAGTAAAATTTTTGAATCTTCTCATATTTCGAAACTATTCTCAGTGAATAATAACATCGAGAGGTTGGTTTTTAGAATGGCCTTAAATAAGATCAAATAAAATTTTTGATTCTTCTCAGAAACTTTAAATTTATTTAAGAAAAAATATTTAAAAGAGCAACAGGCAATGAAAATAGTCTAATTTCCAAAATACTCATTTTGAAAAACTCATTTCTAAAACTGGATTTGTAAGACTGAATCTTGTAGCTCTGAGAGATAGATAGATAAATGAATAAAATGATTTAGCTGCTCTTCACTTGAAATTTAGATTTGGTATTAAATACTGTACCAATAGTAAATGTTTACCCTACTTTGCACTTTTCTGTGATTCAGCAAAACACCCATTTCAAAAAATGTCACATTTTACCCCATGCTTCCTCTACCCTGCAAAGGCGTCATGGGATTACTGTTTATGAAAGTAGGAAGATGGTTTGAAGGGAAAAACACTGGAGAAATCTAAATTCTTGTCCCAACTTTACTATTTGCCATGCAACCTTGGGTAAGTCATTTAATCTTGTTGAACCTCATTTTCTCATTTGAAAATGGGGACAAAAGTATTGTTCTCTGCTTTACCCATATGATTGTTGTGAATATCAAATGACATGTAAAATACTTTTAAAAATTGTAATGATTTTGTACACCCTTTAGTAAAGATATGTAATGAGGCACCTATGATATTTTTATATATATTTTCAAAGTCTTTGAAAATATACTTATAACTCAAGAAAATACATCTATAACCCTTACCATGATTTTTCATCAATTCTTTTTAAGTAACTAATATACACTAGAGCATCAGGATTAAGCTCATAAAGTTTTGAGTCAAACTGTCACTTACTAGGACAAATTGCTTAATCTATTTCTCAATTTCTTAGTCCATAAAATGGTATATAACAATAGTATCTACCTCACCTTCAGAGCTGTTGTGCACATCATATTCATTCAAATATGCAAAGTACCTAGAACAATGACTCTTATACAATAGACACAAATACTAGTTCTCCTAAGAATAAGAATCTGAAAAGATATGTGAATCAGCTGGCAATTTTATCATTCCAGAGGTAGGTATTTAAATAATCAGACCAGGGACACCTGGGTGGCTCAGTCAGTTAAGGATCTGCCTTTGGCTCAGGTCATAATCCCAAGGTCCTGGGATTGAGTAGGGAGCCTGCTTCTCCCTCTGCCTGCCGTTCCCCCTGCTTGTGCTCTCTGTCTCTGACACATAAAATCTTTTTAAAAGGTAAATAAATAAATAAATAAATAAATAAATAAATAAAAAAATAAATAAATAAATAAATAATCAAGCCATATGATTCATTTATTCTTTCAGGAAAAAAAAAAACTCCTAAAAATTTATCCACCTGTCTCTCTTAAAATCCACTCATCCCTTCCATCTAAGAAGACAAGATCAAGAAAACCTTGAAAGCCTAACTGCTCATTTCTTTGCATTTTTTCTTAAGAAACAAAAAGATATAACCAATATGACTCATAGCAGTTGAGAGTTTATGGAAACAACGTCATATTCCAGGCTTCCACTTCCCTTTGGTGGCTCACTTTTGGGTCTGCAATACTTCACCATAAGAAAAAGGAAGCGATGATGGACTTAAATGAGAAGGAGGACAAAATAATCTACCATGCCCAGAAGACAGCAAGAAAGCCTCATGGTCATGATGGACACAAGAGAGCCCTGTCTTGAGAAACAACTACAAGTTTGTTCTTTGTCTTATCATCTTCTATTTCTGAACAACTGCAAACTGAATTTCAAAAACTTGACTGGATGGCAGTCTCAAAACCATCCCCTCCAACTGCATATAATCAATCATCAAATCTTACTGATTTTTTACCTCTTTATCTCTTTCATGAGGTCTATATTCATATATAATCTGCCTACTAAAATTTTCCAGTTGGATATCCCACATGTACCTTAAACTCAGCCTAATTTCCCACCAATCTCTTAATCATATATTTCCTATTATGGTGAATAACACCATTATCCCCTCATCTGAGGGAAAAAAAAGTGATTTGATAGACCTCATAAGTTCTTTCTGCTCCTTTGACCATCTACCCACAAACCACATGTGTCATGCGCATGCGCACATGTACACCCCCCCACACACACACACTGTCCAACCAATCAAATCACTACTGCCTGTTAATTATCACCTAAACTATCACAGGTGTTTCTTTACTGATTTTCCTGCCTGCCTCTAATTTCATCCCAGGGTCCATGTCACCTTAACCTAACTTCTATACTGCTGCCAGAATGGCTTTCATGGGATGAACATTTGCATGTCTTTTTTCTGCTTGCATTTTCATAATGCGGTATAAGATCAATTCTCAACACTTCTGCAAAAAATACAAGACTCTTCAGAGTCTGACACCTGCCTCTTCACTCAGATTAATCTTCCAATGCTATTCCCCTTATCTGGAGTATCTCTTCTCTCTGTAAGAAGATCTCACAGATCTTACAAGCTTCACTTGAAATGCTGCCTCCTTCATGAAGATTCTCTGTCTCTTGATGGCACACTTAGATGCTAGTGCTCACATGATTTCAGTAATTTGTCAACATCTCTCTATCATAACAATTACCTTAGAGCTATTAGTTGTTTGTTCACACATCTATCTTCTCACTACTATTCTGGGAGGCAAACCAATATATACATTTTTAAATTATAACACTTAAACAATGTGAAGCATTCTCATTGTAGACGCCTTAGAAAATCCAATAATGGGGGCACCTGGGTGGCTCAGCTGTTAAGCAGCTGCCTTTGGCTCAGGTCATGATCCCAGGGTCCTGGGATCGAGCCCCGCATCGGGCTCCCAGCTCAGCGGGAAGCCTGCTTCTCCCTCTCCCACTCCCCCTGCTTGTGTTCCCTCTCTCGCTGTGTCTCTCTCTGTCAAATAAATAAATAAAATCTTTAAACAACAACAACAACACATGTTCATTTGGGTGCCTGGGTGGCTCAGATGGTTAAGCGTCTGCCTTCGGCTCAGGTCATGATCCCAGGGTCCTGGGATCGAGTCCCGCATCGGGCTCCCTGCTTCTTGGGAGCCTGCTTCTCTCTCTCTCTCTCTCTGTCTCTCATGAATAAGTAAATAAAAATCTAAAAAAAAAAAAAAAAAGATTTAAAAAAAAATCGAATGTTTAATGAAAACGTAAAATTATTTATATTTCTTCTACAAAGAAAATACCATTATTTTAAAAATAGCTCTTCTATTCATATACATATACACACACATTCACATGCACACACCTACACTACCTATTTTTTATTTGTCTTAGAACATTTATAGTTTGGTTTGTTTGTTTGTTTGTTTTTCTAGCAGCTAGCACAGGGCCTACCACATAAATAGTCAACAAATATTTACTGAATAAATGAATAATCTCAAATCTATGCCCCATTTTTCTGTGTCCTTACCTCCTGCCTTATAATCATTTGTCTGAACTACTCTAATAATCTGTAATTGGTCTCATTGCCACCAACTTCTTTTCCTTTGGATTCACCCTCCATATTGCTGCCATGATTATATTATCAAATGAAAATCTTGCTACATTATTGTCATGTTTATGAATCTTTTGGTGACTTTTATTGCCTATGAAATAACATGCAATTCCTTATCATTCAAGACTTTTCACAATTTAGTCCTAATATACTTTCCTGACCCATCTTCTGTCATTTCTACCTCTTATATCAGGGATCAGTCTTTTATCTTATATCTTATCTTATTTCTATCTCATATATTGGGGATCATTCACAGTTCTCAAAGATATGCCATGGGGTTTCACTCTTGACTCATGCCACTCCTTCTGACCAAAATATCCTGCCCCAGTGTTCCTCATAAGGCAAATATTTGATATAGCCTTCAAGAACAAATATATATATACACATATATATATCTTCTACAAAGTCTTTTTAAACATTTCCTCCATTTTTCAGCCAAGTGATTCATTCTTTCAGCTGTTTCCAGAGAAGTCATCCCAAAAGCTAAAACTAATGTTTTGTAAAACTGCCTTCTCTGACCCCCACTAATGGAGGCTCAGATTTCGTAGGAGTGGAGTGGAGACAGGAATCTGTTGTTTTAAAAACATGCTACATCCCAACATAAACAATGCCAGACTGAATGCAGTTCAGTTTCAGGCCAGACTGAACTCTGGGTTGCTGAGTGCTAAACATTCTTCTTAAAGCATGACTCGGGATCATGCTGGAAACAGCCAGAAGTAGAGCATGTTGGGACCCATGCTTTCAGGTATCAATAAAACCAATCATTGTTTTTCATAGGTTTTATGCATATGAGTCTTTGGGAAGTGAAATCAGCTTCTGTTATTTCAAGCTGTTCAAAATACCAGGGAAATGGAGGGATTGAAAACAAAAAGTAAAACAAAGGCATAAACTATTTAAATATAGACCAAAAGGAAGAAAGAAAAGGACATGAAGTCATGTAAGCTGTCTCTATAATACTGTACTCACGGGGGAAATAAGTGAAGAGGAGAAGAAGCACAATGAAACTAGTTATAAAAAAATATGATTTGTGTCCAAGGAGCCATCAAGGGTCTTGGCTTGTTCAAATCAAATCAGCAGAACTATTATCCTAGATTGGCATTACTGGCTCTGAACAAGTCACTTAGCCCAAAATTCTTGGGATTTTCCTCAT